TGCTGTCATTCCCGCAACAGAACGACAATGTGCTGTTATAGCAGGATAATGCACACACACATGATGCCTCTTGTACTTAACCTGCTCTTCAAGATGTTCGCATACGTTTTTTTCCATTGAACTGAATGGGATATGATGGTACGACTCCTGACTCGTTTAGTTAATTCCCCTACAACTCTTGCTATATCGCGTCAACAAGAGGCGTAGAATAACGTATCGCAGAATAGTATTCGCTATATCTCTGCGACCGTATGCATTTGAGATTATAACCCTTATTTTTCAACCTGTGCGTGTATTGGTGTGTATTTGTGATTATTTACGAACCATATAGATTATTTACTTACAGTAAAGCTAAAGACATGCATACATTTAACAAGATTTCTACTTTTGTTATAATACTGTCATACACGTCTCTAACAGTCTCACAAGAGAGTCACCTGGGGGATTGATTGGCACTCTGTAGTATTCAGTTATAAGAGCAGATCCCACATACATGCAAGTGATGGTCATTTAAATGGACAGTATAGATGCGGAGAGTAACATCTTTCTGAGTATATCTATCCATTACAGATATACGTCCAACTCATGTTACATACTATAAGCTACAACTCTTACTTACACTTGTTTTTGGAGGGTATACAAAAATAGAAAGGAGCGTAAGGCAAGGATGCGTCTTCTCACCTGACCTGTTCAACCTATACAGCGAGGTAATCCTGAGAGAACTGGAAACCGTACCGGGATTTAGCATTGGCGGTCACAATGTTAACAACATAAGACACGCAGATGACACAGCACTGATAGCAGACACGGAAATGAAATTACAAAATCTCCTACAGAAGGTAGCGACGGAGAGTGAGAAGGAACTAAGCATAAACTACAAGAAGACTGAGTGCATAGTCGCCATTAAAAGAATGAGCCCTAAATGCGATCTGAAGGTCGAGAACACTAAAATCAAGCAGACGCGAAAGTTTAAATATCTGGGAATCGTCTTGACAGAGGACGGTAAGTGCGACACTGTGATCCGTAGGCGTATTGGGATGGCCAAAGACACGTCCCAAAAGCTGGGCAGAATACTGAGAGACAGGAGGATATCTTTGGTAACAAAGAAAATAATACTGAACTGTTACGTGACATCTTTCTTTCTGAATGTTCGACGATTTCCTCAAAAATGAAGAAGAATCTTGAGGCGACAGAGATATAGTTCTACAGAAGGGCGCTAAAGATATCATGGACCGAGCGTGTGAGCAACGATAAGATCTTAGAGAGGATGCAAACTAGGAGGAGGCTTATACTTTATATCAAAAAGAGGCAGCTTAGGTTTCTGGGACACATAATGAGGAAGGAGGGCCTGGAGAATCTGATACTCACAGGTCGAATAGAGGGAAAGTGACACAAGGTAAAACCTCACGTGACAAGTGGATGCCAGAACGTGGTCTGGGGGAGGAAACAGAGGGAAAAAATTTGTTGAGAGCTGCAAGGGGCGGAGAGAGGTGGAGATCCATGATCGCATACGTCCTGAAATGATATGGCACGTAAAAAGAAAAAGAAAAATTGAGCCGCACCCATACATTCAAAACATTGTAGACCGTGCTAGAGTTAGTTTCGTACAACACCACTTATTGTTTTAAAAACCAAATCATTAACCCAAAATCTCGGGTCAAGTATTTAAATAGACTCGTCAGACCGAGGCTTTCATATTAATGCCAAATATGGTGCCAAACGTGTTCAGAATCATCTAAACTTTCAGCTGCATACAACTGCCTTATTAGATCAATAGTTAAAAACGGCTTCGAGCGAATGAGGCATGGACGAGGATTATCCTTTTTCGAACGTTGTGGACTGGAGCTATAGAATCACAAGAGAATTGTAACAAATAGCCGACATGACGAAAATGGATAGCACTTGAAGAAAAAATTACGAAAATCATGAAGTTAACCTTCTACACAATCAAAAGGTTAGGAAGAAAGCCTCTATCAGTAATGGAAAGAGCGAAAACATCTACTGGACTTACGAGAATCGTTCTTCTGAAAAACTGTTTCAATAGAAGGATTTTATAAAAAATTCAACCTATTGTAGCACTGGCGGCTCAGTTAATGAATGCCAAATATTTTCTTACAAAGAGACGGCTAATATTACCATTACCATTTTGCTGCCATTCATGTAACAAGTAGCTGTTGCGATATTCACGCAGTATAATACCCGCCCACGTAATGTCCATACTACTCAATATATTTTACAAGACGTTCAAAAACTAACCTAGTCTACACTATCACCAAACCTGTCCCCCAGTGGAAATGTAGCGAAAATGATTGGATGACACCTGCCTTGTTCCTCGAGCCAACTTTCAGCTGTTTCTATATTGTTTCAGTTGGTACAAGAAGTGGACAATAATGTATCACAAAATGACATCTACTATTTACACAATTAAAAACACGTAAGAGTTCAGGCTTGTGTTAATACCGAAAGATGATGTAGAATTCACGATGGAGTCTGAGAACTCTTGATATAGCATTCTTCAGGGTGTTGCAATTTAATTTTCCGTCAGTGGATTTTAGAATAGAACATTCGAGATGGAGTAGCACACTAAAAAATGACTCTGAGGTACGAAAAAATAAATCTAAGATGGCCATAATTTCATTCAGTTTGATAAAAGTGTACCAGTCACATACATCACAGACAAATGTGCACGCTATTCCTGAGATTATTTGACATAACCTTGCAGCGGGTGGGGGTGCAGGGTTAGATATACCTGCCTGTCTTGTAACTCAGAAAGTTTTTTCAATTGAAGGTTTTCCCAAGTCTCTAGATGTAAATTCAAAGTTACTTTGGATGCTTCATCCGAAAACCGACCAGGATTCTCTCCCAATACTCACGCTCATAAACAGAGCTGGACAGCATATCAGACCCTAGAGGACATACGCAAAAGGTGAAAATCAACCCGCTGACAAGAAAATCGATCTTATTATTATTGTTATTATTATTTTTTCCTTCGATTTCTCTTGTATACACATTTTCTTCTGGGTCCTAACTAGATACCTAAGATCAGAAATGGCTTCATGATATTTCCTACTGATCATGTTTTGTAAAAGAAATCTAAGATCACACATTTCTCACAGATAAAGCTCTTCGTAAAATGTGATCTGTATTTTTCAGTACATTTTTTGTATTTCTTTAAGGCATGGGTTACCAAGAAATCATTCAATGACTATATCGGAACCTTTTTCAAACAATCCGAGGGCTCCAATTACAACTGGAATTACTGACGTATTCATCTGCTACATATTTTAGTTTTCAACTTCAAGGCCCTTGTATTTTGATAGTTTTTTGAAGCGCTTCCAAGATACATTACAATTTGCTGGAACTGTCATCTCAATAAGAAATCACATTCTGTTTGTTATGGTTTTTGAAAACGATGTCTGGGCGATTAGCGTTGATTAATCTCTCTGGGTATCGTAAAGTCCCATAAAATTGTTAAAGGCCATATCTCTATAACCGGTTCTGGGTGATGTTCATACCAGTTTCTTGCAGTTTCCTCATAAAAGTTGCATATTTTCCAGTGCAGATATTGGCCCACTCTATCATGACGAGTTTTATCAGTGGGTGCAAACAATGTGTAACCTGATGTATGATGATCAATTGTTTCTGGAAATCTGTCACAGAATCAGCATTTCGTTTCAACATAATTTTTCAGTATGTGTGCTTGATAAATTCTAGCATTAATCATGTGATGAAAGCATAAGACTTTCGATTTGTGCTTTTAACCCTGCACTATGTAACCACTTATGGGTACGGGATTAGTCTGCATTAGCTTGTTTTATACGGGTAGAGTATTGGCCATTAAGAGGTTTATCTTTTCATCGTTTGGTACACTGCATTTACTTTTATTATCCTTTTAAGATTTTTGCCGCTTCAGTATATATATTATTGTTTATTTGATCTTCTTCATCCACTTGAACTTCCCTTTTTCAATTTGTTGGCTTCCTTTGTCGCTAATTAAAGTATCCTATTTCTGTCATGTTCTTTGACACAGATCATCATCTAATCTTCTGTAGTTTCCAGGTATCTTTAAAGACCAATTGTTGTGGGTTTTTTGGAGACAGTTCTAGTTGAATTAATCCTCTGCTTCCTTCGGATATATCTACATACAGACGGTCAAAATCATTGTTTAAGATGACGGTGGCAAGTGAGACGCCTGCATGTCTTGACATCCATTTGCTTAATCTCAGTTATAGTCCAATTAAGGATGTTGAAACTGTCTTGCACCACAGGAACAGCTAAAGTGTTTAAGGCTGCATTATTTACATTATTCGGACTATTGTCCTCATCTTTGTCTTTGTTAGTAGGATTTTCATTATTATTATTCGTGTCCCTTGCTTTTTCAGCGTGTACGTTACGCTCTGCCAATAGCTCATAATTAATGGACTATTCCGTTTTGATTGGGTGGAAAGATGGAAATGATATATTAGAGACGCTACTTGATTTCAAAGAAAGAAAGAAAGAAAGAAAGAAAGAAAGAAAACAAAGAGCCGTTAATTTTCCACAGCTATTACTAGTTATTATTATTATTAGTAGTAGTAGTAGTAGTAGTAGTAGTAGTACAGTTTGGGATATTTACTGGAAACTCTATTATTATCATTATAATTTTTCCTCCGAACTTTTAATCATACGAGAGAAATTTAACATAAAGTATATAGCATAAATCTAATTTTAACCTTATAATATGATCTGCTATGGACAACACAAAGTATTTTTATATTGGCCCGGATTAGCGAGAAGAGAAAGCAGAAAATTTAACATACATTTGACAAACAAGTATTGGATGATTGGTTTCTTATCGCTTATCTGAGTATTCAAGCTAACATGCTAAAGAATCCAGTAATGTTTACAGTCCATTGTGGATATTCGGTCGACCAAAATCTAGGCCTTTTGTTGGACAAATCCATGTTTTTCGTATGAACTTTTGTTGTTTTTTTTTTTCTTTGTGCTTTCTCTTTCACGAGTTTTATTCGCTGCAACAATCTAAACAGTTTCTTCACGACTCGATTTTCATCCTTCCAATATTTTAAATCATTTTCTAACTTTTTTTTCCATACAAATTCTCCGGTTTTTCTTTCTTGTTCTACGTGTTTTTCCTCTTTATTCATCCGTTTCCTTTCTAAATATTTTTCGATTTTTTCTTCTTTCCGTCTCTTTCTAATTTATCCATTTATTACGGATTCTTCTTTCTCGTCTTTTTGCTCCTATCGCCGATTCTTCTTTCCCGCTCTTTTGCATCCATCGCCGATTCTTTTTTCCCGCTTTTTTTTTCTTTCTGTCACTTGTTTCCTTTATATTAGCATTGCATTATTCATCTTTATTTCATTTTCATTTCTCATCACCACAAATCGTTACCAATTGTGTGTTATACTTATCATATTTTCTCTCTCCTTCCTTCGCTATATATATATATATATATATATATATATATATATATATATATATATATATATATATATATATATATATATGTATATGCGCATGTGTTTGTGTCTATGTGTCTAGCTGGCTCTCTACCTATATGTGTCCTGTTCCATCTTTATTTCTTTACTTTAATATATTTCCTGTATTTTTGTTTCTCTTCACAAATATTTTTTGTTGCGTGTGATTATTTGTTATCTTTCATTACGTTTCTTTTCTCTCGCTTTATTTCCTTTTTCTTCTCTTTCTCTCTCTCTCTCTCTCTCTCTCTATTTCCTTTTTGCTTCTCTCTCTCCCTCTCGCTCTATGGGGAACGTATTTCTGTCTGTCTCCTTTAATCTTTATTTCATTAATTTTAATATTTTTCTCCGTTTTTTATATCATTTTTTTGTTATTTTTTCTTTTTCTTTATTTCTGTTTTTCTCTTTCAGTCATGCATTAACATTCTGCCTTTTATCTATTTATTTATTTTCTAAATTCTCCTTTCCTTCTCTGCCTTTCATTGTTTCTATTTTCACTGTTCATCACAGTTTTTATCTCTTTCTTTCTTTCCTTCTGTCATATTACAATTTTCCCTTCTCCTTTCATACATACCTTTTTACTTGGTTTAACACAGATAATCTTTATTTTCAGCCATTGTATTCAATATTTTACTCTTCTAAGATTTCAATTACAGAGAGGAAATTGCTTTATTGCAATAAATTGGATATTCAAATGCACACAATAGTTTCACAGACAAGCAAAACACGCAAATGCGCACACCCGTCTCAAAAGCAATTATATTCACGTATAGACATATGTACGCTTCAATAGACGCACGCAGTAATACAATCCAAAACTCATCTCTCCGCCTACAAACAACTGCATCATCACGAATAGTTTCAAACATTACAACATACTCATACACACAAAAACATACAGGTATTTTAACTCTATTTTCTTTAAATGTTTTTCTACAAAGTTTCATAGATGACTTCCTAAATATTTTTTATACATATTTACAAAGAAACGCACACACTCGCTTAAATAGAAATAACTGTATTACTTGACAGTCGTACACATATTTACCCGTCGATAGACACTGTAAGAAATTCTTTCATATTATCACAGATATGTCCAAACTATCAGATATGCAGGAACCACAAGTATTTACACACACCCTGTCTAATGTTACTCGGTGTATTTGCTAGAAAGTGCACTATTTTGTATGCGAATGCAGAAAAAACTGCATTAAATTAGCTTCAATGTAGATATTCCTACACATGAATGATGTACTCTGGCTCACATGAGTTTAGATACAGTCAAGCGTGAAGATAAATTTATGCTAACACATCCACTCATTTTTAACTAAAGAACGTACGAATGCTTACACGAATTTTAGCCTACGTGTTTTTTTCGTTAATTTTCAAGAGTATTTTAAATTTAAGTCTTTCTTCATATCTGCAATTGTTTTACTTCTGCAGTATAAAAATTGCGTTAGGAAACATTTTCATTTTATATTTTAATTGTTTATTGAAACAAGTAAAATGTTTGACATTTTCTTAATTTAGATCTTGAAATTATATGTTGTATGACATCTAAAAAATAATGTAGATATTTTTTCGACCTGAATTGATCTAAATTTGTTGATGGAAATTTTGTACATCCCTTTAAAAATCTTAAATCTGATCAATCACTTTGCCAAAAATAATTTTATATCTATTTTCATTAAGATTCTCACATTTTTATCTTAGAACAATATTTTTCTTCATATAACCCGCAGACATATTTATTTCTATCGTTCTAAAGCAACTTTCCTCTCATGACAGGAATATATTGCAAATTTTTATTTATATTTTTAAATAAACCAGCTTTTCTTAAATTGAGTTTTTATCCATCAATTCAGTTATTTTCTTATTTTGTAAATCTAATTTCGCATCACTGAATTTGACGATAAGTTGTTGCTTGGTTTCCTAAAAATCTTTTACAAAAAATAAGCGGTTGTATGATAACTGCTCACCTCATCTTAATTCTACAATACAAAAAATATATTTCAATTTGTGTCATTTAATTATATTTACACGCAAAATATTATTTCCAACAATCATGCTATATTGACAACACAGCTGCTTATCTGATCAAATAAGCAAAGTTTAAGAGAGTTTTTGCTGAATGGATGACAATTTATTATTACAACGTACTCACAGGTAAAGAGCATTTCCGAATATATCGCCCTAGCTGAAGGGTCACTTCTAATTAAATAATATGAACCACATATGTTCCCTGACCTACGATCTTTGTGCCTCTTCAGATTTATTAAGATCTATCTCTGCCATAGCCTATTCCAATATCGTGGTAAAAGCGGCCTGGGAGCCCACATACAATCTTGCTTGAATTCGTTTATGTTTAATAAAGGTTTCGAGGAATCAATACGGTATCTTCCTAAAGAAAGATACAGTATTGTATCCAGTATTGTACAAGCAACAGTATTGTATACAATACTGTACACGCAACAGTACTGTATACAGTATTATACAAGCAACAGTATTGTATCCAGTATTGTACAAGCAACGGTATTGTATATAGTATTGTACAAGCTTCAGTTAGACGTCTAGGCTAAGAAACATCAGTGGGCGACCAAATTTTTCCAAGATAATCTACACTTAACTGCATGACATAGAATCCTTTGTTTTTCTTTGATCTGTCTTAAGACTAAAATGATGTTCTTTATGACTCAGTTATCTCAAATACTTTAATAGTTATCGGAGAAAGGATTATCAGCAATATGAACTATTAATCTATTGAGCAAATTTCTCCTTACAATAGAAAAGAAATTGATTTCATAATACTTTAAACAGTCCAAATTTATTATTTTTGCTACCAAAGGGTTGTGATGACTGAAGTAGTTTTCCCAGGCAGCAATTTTTTATGGTAATTGTTCTGATAAACTTTCCGCTATGGTATCTAAACATTATAAATTTAATCACAATACTAGATTGGTAGCAAGGTCTCATCATTTTACAGTTGAAATGGTTAGATGTGACCGTAAATTATATGCTAAAAATTTCTTCTGTTGGATTTCTCACTTGTGGAACACACTTCCGGTTTCTTGCTTTCCAGTCAAATTTGATCTTCAACAATTTAAATGCAATGCCAATCGTTATCTTCTATTTTCGTCATTCATATTCTTTTATTGTCTTCTCTACTCAATAGTAGTTTTTCTCATATTCTCTAATACCCAGTAACGCTTGAGTCGTAGTGGCTTTATTGCCTTGCTTGATGTGAAGTGATTAAAAAAGAGAAAGAGGAAACAAGCTGATGGGGCCTCACATGTAAAGCAGAAGCTCCATGTTTCCTCACACATACAAACACACACACACACACGCACATATGTGTGTGTGTGTGCGCGCGCGCGTGTGTGTGTGTGTGTGTGTGTGTGTGTGTGTGTGTGTGTGTGTGTGTGTGTGTGTGTGTGTGAAGAGTGTCTGTATATAAATATAAATATAAATATGCGCGGTACTTATTAGAAAGCGCTCAATATCAGAGATAGAGCTAACATATTTGGTTGGATTGATGTGAGTTTGTGACCCTGGGTTTCACGCTTTTACGATCGTCAGACAAAATGATTAATTTTTAAAAATTTTGGGTTTATGTAGATTGCGTGTATTGGTGCTATTATGGAAGTGGGGGGAGGGAATCGTCGTCGTAATGTCGCTCATGCTAAAGCAAACATAGATGCATGTCCGTACACCCGATGAGATACGCAGACACACATACACACTTGCTCGTCCACCGGGGCTCATACAGATATAAACATATGTAGACAGTATGGGACTTGACATATGTATATATATATATATATATATATATATATATATATATATGTGTGTGTGTGTGTGTGTGTGTGTGTGTGTGTGTGTGTGTGTGTGTGCTGTTGTCTCTATACATACGCATTTGTATGTTGAAATTCAAAGATCGGAAGTGTAGCGAAGATTTCTCGTGAATGTCTCGTGAATGTATACATGTCAGCAACCAGAGCATTTTTCTATTTTTTCGCTGAATAATATTTCCTCGCATGCACGTATATACGTGTGGTGTGGTCTGTGTAAAATTATGATAGGTTAAAATTTGCTATTATTTTTAATTCTTTAAAGTTTATTTGTTATTATTTTAAAGCTGGTTATTTGCTTGTTTTTGATGACTGTGTATATGTAACTGGTAGAAATTGCAGTTTTTAATCCTTATTGGTTATTTTTATTTTTATGGTGGTATTAAATATGCTGGAGGGCGGGGGTAGTTTACGTTAATAATTATAGCGGGTTTATATTCCATAATAACACCAATACACGCAATCTAATCAATCCAATCAGTTTGTCTGACGATCGCAAAAGCGTGAAACCCTGAGTCACAAACTCACATCAATCCAACCAAATATATATATATATATATATGTATGTATGTATGTATGTATGTATGTATGTATGTATGTATGTATATATATATGTATGTAAATAGGTTTCATTTAAGATGGCTGACAAGGAACTGCGATTAATTTTTGTATCAATATTTTCTTCCTTGCGTGCAAACGATTTCTTATGTAATAAGTAGCAATGTAATAAAAAAATGTGTTGCCTTATTGAAGATGTTTTGCCTGTCTATGAAATCAGCTTTCTGAAACTGAGGCTTTTTAACCAATCGGTGTTACGTAATATACTCAACTCATCCAATCAGGAAGCTCCAGGTGATTTTAGGAATTAATATTTTCAAACGTGATGTGAAAAAAGATAAAAGGTTTAAACGAGAAAGTAAATTTTACGTCTCACCTAAAGTAATATTTTCTCGCATAAAAATGTTAATATTATCCTGGTTAGTTTGCAGCTTTTAGAGTGACGGGCGCCCAGAAGTAAATAGTTGTTTAAATTAAGTACAAGAAAATGTTTACTGTGTCTTTAATTTTTAAATAAGGTTTCCTGTTGTCTATTCAATCATGAGTTTTTTGGGGGGTTTTCTCCAAAAAATTCACTAGAAACTTTTTCATATACCGCCATGAAGTGTTCCATGAAATAGATTTCAAGATAAGCCTTTCTAAAATTGAAACTATGAACTGGAATTTAAATGAAAGGTTTACCTATCATGAATCCATCATAAATATACTGTATGTTGAATTAGTAAATACAAAACACTTCAAATACCACAGCGTATGGATGAGTTATAATAAATTTATCATGGAAGAAAATTGAACATAGAATAGGCTGAGCTCGAGGCAGTTTTGGCCAACATTGCAAATTGCTGCTACACCAAAACATTAACCTGGAAACTCGAGTCATTTTCTTAAATAACCTCTTCGAATCGAGACTTT